AAAAGCTTAATGAAAGGTAGTAGGATCTAAAAACGTCCTGAACGTCGTATAAAATAACGGATGCTAATTTGGAAGTGAAAATAATTAAAAAAAATATTAATAACATTATTTTTATGACATAAGTTGGCAGTTAATTATTAAGTATAACTTAGATTATTGCCAGCGATGCAATCTTAATTTCACTCTCCAGCTTCGGGATTCCGCTGCCTTGTGGGTGATGAATTATTCTCCACATCGAAACCCTTACTTTACAGATGAAATGTTGCTGGCCTCTCACTATTCTGTCGCTATTGCTATGAAAGGTGTTCGGACGAGCTACATTCCTTAATACCACAAGCTAGGACTTCCAGAGATAGGCACCCGTCAGGCTTAATGAAATGTTCAATCTAAAAACGACCTGAACATCGTATAAAAGTAACGGAAGTTGATTTGGAAGTGAGACTAATAGAAAAAATTAATAACATTAACAACACCGAGATGATAAAACCTCCACCTTATCAAATGTGTGATCATACCCTCAAAGAGATCTTTCGAATATTGTCTAAATCTCACTTCCGACATCAATGAGAACGAGTATAAATATGCCATCGAAGAAGGAGTTGTTAAAATGGTCGATTCTTTGTTGCCATTCTCTGTCTTTACAAGAGTCAGATCAGACAAGGAGAGTTACCCACGATCTAAGCTTTTAGCGCGTTTCAAACTCTCTGCCATCGTGCAGGAAGAAATCCAGAAAGGCAGAGTCTGATCTGGGGAGATAGACAAACCCTATCCCGTGTACGGTCTACGGGAATTTTTGCCCGAGGCTACGGGTTCAGAAAGACCCACGTAAAACCGGCCTTGTGTCACATCCCGCTCTGCTGTGAGCTCGGGTAAAATATGAGTCAGATCAGACCAAAAATGGAGTATGGCAGATATCTGGATGTTACATTAGTGAGTGGTTTCACCAGCTCAGAACTTCACAATTTGAACCCGCCAGGCCATTTTCAATGATTGTTTCCATATATTCGGCAAATGTTCTTAATATTTAATCAGTATTTTTCTCGGACCACCAACTATTTCTAATAAATAAAGGCGTAGAATAATTCGACACTCACAAGGATGTAAGAAAAAAATTATTAATGAAAAATAACAATAAAAAAACAGGTATTAATAATACGATCACCGAAGATAAGCAACGTCCATCCTGGCCAGTACCTAGATGGGTGACTGCTTGAAAATACTAAGTGCTGCAAGCTTGCATGTACAGGTGGTCTAACGGATAAAGACTCAGTATTGTTAATCGCAGAGCCGAGTTCCAATTCCACTCAGGTGCGTCCTGAATAAGACGATAACCTACATCCAATAGAAAGGTCTCTGATCAGGAGGTTTTGAGCATCATAGAACCACCTGTTAATTTTCTGGTGTTCCCAGGTCCACCCTGATCCGGGGTGGTAGCACCTGTTAGGGTCACAGCTAGAGGCAAATAGTTGACACCCAAACTTGAGTCAAAATAGTATGAAAGTGTAAAAATAGGTTTTAATACATACCAGAAATTCTTCGTAAAAAAAAAAATTATCACCAGCAATACATTTTTAGAAAAAAATAAAGAAATTACCAACTATAGTTTATTTTGAAAGTAAATATTACCAGCAATAAAAAAATTGTCGGCATTAAATAACCCTTGAGGTTGATAAACCGTAAAACAAACCAAACCACTCCAGTCAGGTTCGTTATATTCACTTACGCTCAAATACTCTCGGGAAAGTTATGAATCTACCACTTCTCCCCAACTATGGGTTAATTAGTAAGATTTGTATCACTAAATCATTATTATCTCCAAAAATATAATAAAACTGTGTAAAAAAATATTTAGATTTTTGTATTAAATAACCCATAGTGGTACTGATATGCCGCTAAACTTAAACAACCAACCTTCAATGAACTGGGTAAACTACATCCGATAGCAAGGCCTCTGATCAGCAGTTTTTGAGGAGTGTGCAATCACCTCTTAATTGCTGGTGTTCACAAGTCCACACTGACCCGGAGTCGTAGCACCTGTTAGGGTCCAAATAGTTAACCCCAAAACTAAGGTCAAAACACTATGGAAGCGTAAAAATAGGTTTTAGTGACAGCAATACAATTTTGTAAAAAATTATTACCAGCAATGAATTTTTGAAGAAAAAAATATTACAAGCAACACATTTTTGGAAAAAAAATATTACCGATAATATAAATCTTGTCGACATTACCTATTCTAAATATCTTGTCGGCATTAAATAACCCATTGAAGTGTTGATATGCCGTAAAACAAAATAAACCAAACCAAATATCCTAGAAACTGATTTCTTGCAAAAAATATATATTCTATTCATACGAACCGATCCTAAAAATCTTATCGGTATTAAATAACCCATAGAGGTTGATATGCCGTAAAATTAAATAAACCAAACCAAATCTCCTACAAAGGGATTTCTTACAAAGAATATATATTCTATTCATAAGAACCTATCCTAAAAATCGTGGGGCACCTCGGCGTGGTGTAATGGTTAGCAAGCTTGTCTTGCAAGATCAGTTACTACTGAAAAGCGAGTTCGAACCTCACTGGGTGCCCAATACTTTCGGCCTTGTGCCACATCTAAGCCGGGCTTAGAAAATCACTATATCGATCATTCTCCCAACGAATTTTTACGTTGGGGTTTTTGACAAATATTGGATCGTTTCTTGGCCTATGGCTGAGATTCGATCAAGGCTTCGACTAGCTTGGACTGGCTCCGGCCTGAACTTGCTAGGACAAGTCATGACCAGCTTTGACTAGGCTCTGACCAGCTTGGACAAGCTATGACCAGTTTTGGACCAGTGGCCTTTGAGTGGAAACACTCGGGTCTCCCACGTTAAACGACCTTGTGTCACATCTTGACTTTGTGGGTGTCAAGTAAATACCATCCTAAAAATCGTGTTGGCATTAAATAACCCATTGAAGTGTTGATATGCCTTAAAGCAAAATAAACCTTACAATCCCTCTACTTTGACCGGTGCTTGAGATTTAACTTGGGTGACCATTAGTAAAAAAAAGTAAAAAAATAGGAATGAAAAGAGTTATAAAACATCCACAACTTTAAAGGGGAAAAATTGACAGGACTTCTCTAACATTTTTACACAATTTTCTGCTTGTGTGTAAATAAAATAGATCTGGAAGCCCAAAATATACGATCGAACAGAAAAAAGGAGAAAAAATGACGAAGTACACCCAACAGAAGGTGTCGGCAAATAGAGACATACGACACAGACTATCAGGTGAACTATGACTAAAAACGTGAGAAGTAAACCATGACAGGCGGGTGGGCGCCTCAAAATTTGACTGGTTAGATCGGATATCCTGTGGATCTGTCACTACCTGGTCAAAGCAAATTTAATTTGGAACGGTTGAGATCTTCTCAGTACTATTTAGCATTACATGGTTGCCTTTTTGTCTGTCATATTTACTCGCTATCGCTGGTGGTCGGGTGTTTGGGGGAAGAAAGACGATGCTGGTTGTGGGACCATTACGGGTGTGATGTGACGTCTATTACATATATCCCCGTCACCTCCTGTTAGATCCCATATCTACCCGGGTCTTTGCTGTGTGTCGTCCCGTTTGCGTCTGCTCGTCATGATTTTCAGAGTAATTTTACACCGGCTGAAGCAAACTGATCTTTCGTTTTTGTTGTTGCTGTTGTTTTTTTGTTAATAGATGTCGTGACAAGGAGGGAGAGATGCGAGTGTGACAGCTAGACTCTGGTGCCCGAGGTCGCAGGGTGAGACGCCACTGAGTTTGCGGGCGAGAACACAGCAGTAGCGGGTTTCAGGTGACGACTGACTGCGAACAGACGATTGCTCGTCGCCAATGCTGATTTATACCGACTGACACACCCGAATGATTTGTCTTGTTCGTCCACCGTCGAGGCATTTACTGCATGTCTGAGCTTGATGCTTTTTTCTTTTTATGCTATGAGGTTTAGATATACATTATTTAGGTGCATAAACATCTATTATATTATAACTAGCATAGTATCCGTTAAAAATGAGCGTATTATTTATGCAAGGAGATTGGCGTATCGTAACTCTTATCGCTTCGGTAAATGAACTCAGAAAGTTTTTATTCCATTGTAAGCACTTCGAACTTGGCAAAGATTTTTTTTTTAATCATTTCACAACAAACAAGGCAATAAAGCCACTAGGACGCAAAGGATTACTGAGTGTAAAAGAGAAAATTATTAATGAGAAGCCACTGGATTACTTCAACCAACGATCCATGTGTCCTTGGGACGTTAGAAAACTCAACTCTCCACCACTATTTACATTCATCGGACTATTTTCCTTATCTTTGTCGCCATATTTATTACAACGTTTCGGCCGTTGTACGCTCCAGCCTTCTTCAGGTTGTTAGAATGTCGAACTGAACCCTTTATTTCTCTCACTGGGGGTATACTGTTCCAATGAGGGAAATAAAGGGTTCAGTTCGACATTCCAACATACCAACCAACTGAAGAAGGCCGGAGCATACAACGACCGAAACGTTGTAATAAATATGTCGACAAAAATGAGGACAATTGTCCGAATAATGTAAATAGTGTACATATTACCTCATCTTAGACAGATACTCAACATTCCAAGTTGGGTTACTCTCATATATTGTGTGTATATTGTGAGTTGAGTTACTCATATATTGCGAATTGAGTTACTCTCTATATATTTTGAAAGAACTGCACTTGATTGGCAAGATGCAATAAATCTAACATGGCATCTGTCCAATAAATGGATAGAAAGATTTTGGCGTAGCTATTCATATCACCTTGACGCAAGGCAGTATTGAGTGTAAAAGAATATAAGAAACATAATTAATAAAAAATAACAATAACAAACAGGTATAAGTAATACGATCACCGAAGATAAGCAACGTCGATCCTAATCAGTACCTAGATGGGTAACAGATTGGGAATAACAGCTGCAGTAAGATTGGATATGACAGTGGTCTAAAGGGCTTACGGCCACATCAATTTGAAATACTAGTTCCTGTACGATCACTGAAGTTAAGCAACTTCGAGCCTGGTCAGTACATACATGGGTGACCGCTTGGAAATACCAAGTGCAGTATGATTGAATGTGAGATTTGTCTAAAGGGCTTACGTCCACATCAATTTGAAACACTGGTTCCTGTACGATCACTGAAGTTAAGCAACGTCGAGTCTGGTCAGTACCTAGAAGGGTAACAGCTTGGGAATACAGGTGCAGTAAGATTGGATATGAGAGTGGTTTAAAGGGCTTACGGCCACATCAATTTGAAATACTGGTTCCTGTACGATCACTGAAGTTAAGCAACGTCGAGCTTGGTCAGTATATACATGGGTGACAATTGGAAATACTAAGTGCTGTAAGCTTAGACGTGCGGGTGGTGTAATGGAAAATAGCTTGGAAATGATAATTGGAGATATCGAGTTCCAATTATAGTTAGGTTCGTTATATTCACCTACGGGCAAATAAACTTGGGTAAAGTAGAAATCTATACCTTCTCCCCACCAGCTACGGGTTAATTAGTAAGACTTGTATCACTAAATCATTATTATCACCGGACCAAAACAAAATTATTACAATCAGAAAATATTTTCTGGCATAAATAACTTGTAAAGATGTGCTAAGTCGTAGAAATATGAGAAACAATGAAAGGCAAGAAGACGGAACAGCGAAAGAAGAAGCTCTTAGCATAGAACTTACGGTTACACCTAGCTATTTCAAGTAAAAGATGATGTAATCATCCAGCTAGTCTAGTAGTACGTTTAAGTACATAGAATCTAGGTACAAAATAAAAATGATCGACTGATAAATTACCATATAAGTATTTGTAGAAAATGCACTTGGAATCTATGTTAAGGCGTTGGGGAAATGACTGAAGCCGAGATACCAAGCAGGGACCAATATAATTGCTGATGAATTTGTTGTATTTTATCAGAAATCTTTCAATATACAGCAGCAGCAAGAGGGAAATACACTACTATGCCAAGAAGTCATGAAAATTCACAGATAATAAAGCAAGATCTGTAGAAAGCATAGGAAAACAATTCCAAGAATTTAAGGTAACTGAAAGATAATAAAGAAAAGGAATCAGTAGAGAAGGCAAGAGGAAACGACACCAACCTCCTTTCCAAGAATAATGGCAGTTAACAGATTATAAAGAAAAGGAATCTGTGGAGAAGGCAACAGGAAACAACTCCAATGTCTTTCCCAAAAAGTGCTGGCAATTCACAGATAATAACGAAAAGGAAAATGTGGAGAAGGCAACAGGAAACCACATCATATTCTTTCCAAAGAAGGCATGCTAATTCAAAGATAATAAAGAAAAGAAATCGGTAGAGAAAGCAACGGGAAACGACACCAATGTCCTTTCCAAGAATAATGGAAGTTGACAGATTATATAGAAATGGAATCTGTGGAGAAGGCAACGGGAAACCACTCCACTGTCTTTCCCAAGAAGTCATGGCAATTCACAGATAATAAAGAAAACTAATCTGTGGAGAAGTCGACGGGAAAACGCACCAGTTTTCCCTAAAAGTCATCACAATTGACAGACAATAAACAAAAAGCATCTGCGGAGAATGCAACGGGAAACCACTCCAATGACTTCCACAAGGAGTCATGGTAATTCAAAGGTAATAATGAAAAGGAATCTGTGGAGAAAGCAATGGAAAAAGAAGGCAACTGGAAACGATACCAATGTCCTTTCCAAGAATAATGGCAGTTAACAGATTATAAAGAAAAGGATTCAGTGGAGAAGGCAACGGGAAACCACTCCGCTGTCTTTCCAAAGTATTCATGGCAATTGACAGATAATAAAGAAAACAAATCTGTGGAGAAGGCAATGGGAAACCACTCCAATGTCTTTCACAAGAAGTCATGGTAATTCAAAGGTAATAATGAAAGGGAATCAGAAAAGAAGGCAACGGGAAAACGATACCAATGTCCTTTCCAAGAATAATGGCAGTTAATAGATTATTAAGAAAAGGATTCTGTAGAGAAGGCAAAGGGAAACCACTCCCCTATCTTTCCTAAGAAGTCATGGCAATTCAGACATAATAAAGAAAAGGAATCTGTGGAGAAGGCAACGGGAAACCACTCCCATGAATTTCCAAAGAAGTCATGGCAATTCACAGATAATAAATTTCCAAAAAGGAATCTGTGGAGAAGGCAACGGAAACCACTCCCATGAATTTCCAAAGAAGTCATGGCAATTCACAGATAATAAGGAAAAGGAATCTGTGGAGAAGGCAACGGGAAACAACTCCCATGAATTTCCAAAGAAGTCATGGCAATTCACAGATAATAAAGAAAAGGAATCTGTGGAGAAGGAAACGGAAACAACTCCATCCACACATAATAAAGAAAAGGAATCTGTGGAGAAGGCAAAGAAACCCTCCCATGAATTTCCAAAGAAGTCATGGCAATTCACAGATAATAAAGAAAAGGAATCTGTGGAGAAGGCAACGGGAAACCACTCCCATGAATTTCCAAAGAAGTCATGGCAATTCACAGATAATAAAGAAAAGGAATCTGTGGAGAAGGCAACGGGAAACAACTCCCATGAATTTACAAAGAAGTCATGGCAATTCACACATAATAAAGAAAAGGAATCTGTGGAGAAGGCAACGGAAACAACTCCCATGAATTTCCAAAGAAGTCATGGCAATTCACATAATAAAGAAAAGGAATCTGTGGAGAAGGCAACGGGAAACAACTCCCATGAATTTACAAAGAAGTCATGGCAATTCACACATAATAAAGAAAAGGAATCTGTGGAGAAGGCAACGGGAAACAACTCCCATGAATTTCCAAAGAAGTCATGGCAATTCACAGATAATAAAGAAAAGGAATCTGTGGAGAAGGCAACGGGAAACAACTCCCATGAATTTCCAAAGAAGTCATGGCAATTCACACATAATAAAGAAAAGGGATCTGTGGAGAAGGCAACGGGAAACCACTCCCATGAATTTCCAAAGAAGTCATGGCAATTCACAGATAATAAAGAAAAGGAATCTGTGGAGAAGGCAACGGGAAACCACTCCCATGAATTTCCAAAGAAGTCATGGCAATTCACACATAATAAAGAAAAAGGGATCTGTGGAGAAGGCAACGGGAAACCACTCCCATGAATTTCCAAAGAAGTCATGGCAATTCACAGATAATAAAGAAAAGGAATCTGTGGAGAAGGCAACGGGAAACAACTCCCATGAATTTCCAAAGAAATCATGGCAATTCACAGATAATAAAGAAAAGGGATCTGTGGAGAAGGCAACGGGAAACCACTCCCATGAATTTCCAAAGAAGTCATGGCAATTCACAGATAATAAAGAAAAGGAATCTGTGGAGAAGGCAACGGGAAACCACTCCCATTAATTTCCAAAGAAGTCATGGCAATTCACAGATAATAAAGAAAAGGAATCTGTGGAGAAGGCAACGGAAACCACTCCATGAATTTCCAAAGAAGTCATGGCAATTCACAGATAATAGATCTGTGGAGAAGGCAACGGAAACCACTCCCATGAATTTCCAAAGAAGTCATGGCAATTCACAGATAATAAAGAAAAGGAATCTGTGGAGAAGGCAACAGGAAACCACTCCCATGAATTTCCAAAGAAGTCATGGCAATTCACAGATAATAAAAGAAAAGGAATCTGTGGAGAAGGCAACGGAAACAACTCCCATGAATTTCCAAAGAAGTCATGGCAATTCACAGATAATAAAGAAAAGGAATCTGTGGAGAAGGCAACGGGAAACAACTCCCATGAATTTACAAAGAAGTCATGGCAATTCACATAATCCCCATGAATTTCCAAAGAAAAGGAATCTGTGGAGAAGGCTGTGGAGAAGGAAACAACTCCCATGAATTTCCAAAGAAGTCATGGCAATTCACAGATAATAAAGAAAAGGAATCTGTGGAGAAGGCAACGGAAAAACAACTCCATGAATTTCCAAAGAAGTCATGGCAATTCACAGATAATAAAGAAAAGGAATCTGTGGAGAAGGCAACGGAAACAACTCCCATGAATTTCCAAAGAAGTCATGGCAATTCACACATAATAAAGAAAAGGAATCTGTGGAGAAGGCAACGGAAACAACTCCCATGAATTTCCAAAGAAGTCATGGCAATTCACAGATAATAAAGAAAAGGAATCTGTGGAGAAGGCAACTCCCATGAATTTCCAAAGAAGGAAACAGATAATAAAGAAAAGGGAACTGTGGAGAAAGGCCCATGAAATTTCCAAAGAAGTCATGGCAATTCACACATAATAAAGAAAAAGGAATCTGTGGAGAAAGGCACAGATAATAAATAAAAAGGAATCTGTGGAGAAGGGAAACAACTCCCATGAATTTCCAAAGAAGTCATGGCAATTCACACATAATAAAGAAAAGGAATCTGTGGAGAAGGCAACGGGAAACAACTCCCATGAATTTCCAAAGAAGTCATGGCTATTCACAGATAATAAAGAAAAGGGAACTGTGGAGAAGGCAACGGAAACCACTCCCATGAATTTCCAAAGAAGTCATGGCAATTCACAGATAATAAAGAAAAGGAATCTGTGGAGAAGGCAACGGAAAACCACTCCCATGAATTTCCAAAGAAGTCATGGCACCACACATAATAAAGAAAAGGAATCTGTGGAGAAGGCAACGGAACAACTCCCATGAATTTCCAAAGAAGTCATGGCAATTCACAGATAATAAAGAAAAGGAATCTGTGGAGAAGGCAACGGAAACAACTCCCATGAATTTCCAAAGAAGTCATGGCAATTAAACAGATAATGGAGAAAAGAAAAGGGAACTGTGGAAGGCAACGGAAAACCAAACCCATGAATTTCCAAAGAAGAAACCATGGCAATTCACAGATAATAAAGAAAAGGGATCTGTGGAGAAGGCAACGGGAAACCACTCCCATGAATTTCCAAAGAAGTCATGGCAATTCACACATAATAAAAAGAAAAGGAATCTGTGGAGAAGGCAACGGAAAAACAACTCCCATGAATTTCCAAAGAAGTCATGGCAATTCACAGATAATAAAGAAAAGGAATCTGTGGAGAAGGCAACGGGAAACAACTCCCATGAATTTCCAAAGAAGTCATGGCAATTCACAGATAATAAAGAAAAGGAATCTGTGGAGAAGGCAACGGGAAACCACTCCCATGAATTTCCAAAGAAGTCATGGCAATTCACAGATAATAAAGAAAAGGGATCTGTGGAGAAGGCA